GGTTCGGCGCGATCGCGTACAACGACCTCCAGGCATCGTCGGAGATCCTCGGATTCTTTCACCGGCAGCCAGGATTTCGAGGTGGCTGGGGAAACGTGATAGACAACGTCCAAGCGCACGATACATGCCTGCCTTTTCCTTATTCGACCGCGAACAATTCAGATCGATCGTCAATTCGAACAATCGATATACAGGTTGTCCCAAAAATGTCTCGCATTACGGAAATGTGGGGTAGCTGAGATCCTGTCTCTTATACACATCTACGAGTTATTAACGAAAAACACTGGCCAATAAGAGGCGAGCTCGACCGGCGTGTGGCGGCCCAGCCAACGAGCGCACGGAGCCCAGTTCCTGTCTCTTATACACATCTACGAGTTATTAACGAAAAACACTGGCCAATAAGAGGCGAGCTCGACCGGCGTGTGGCGGCCCAGCCAACGAGCGCACGGAGCCCAGTTCCTGTCTCTTATACACATCTACGAGTTATTAACGAAAAACACTGGCCAATAAGAGGCGAGCTCGACCGGCGTGTGGCGGCCCAGCCAACGAGCGCACGGAGCCCAGTTCCTGTCTCTTATACACATCTACGAGTTATTAACGAAAAACACTGGCCAATAAGAGGCGAGCTCGACCGGCGTGTGGCGGCCCAGCCAACGAGCGCACGGAGCCCAGTTCCTGTCTCTTATACACATCTACGAGTTATTAACGAAAAACACTGGCCAATAAGAGGCGAGCTCGACCGGCGTGTGGCGGCCCAGCCAACGAGCGCACGGAGCCCAGTTCCTGTCTCTTATACACATCTACGAGTTATTAACGAAAAACACTGGCCAATAAGAGGCGAGCTCGACCGGCGTGTGGCGGCCCAGCCAACGAGCGCACGGAGCCCAGTTCCTGTCTCTTATACACATCTACGAGTTATTAACGAAAAACACTGGCCAATAAGAGGCGAGCTCGACCGGCGTGTGGCGGCCCAGCCAACGAGCGCACGGAGCCCAGTTCCTGTCTCTTATACACATCTACGAGTTATTAACGAAAAACACTGGCCAATAAGAGGCGAGCTCGACCGGCGTGTGGCGGCCCAGCCAACGAGCGCACGGAGCCCAGTTCCTGTCTCTTATACACATCTACGAGTTATTAACGAAAAACACTGGCCAATAAGAGGCGAGCTCGACCGGCGTGTGGCGGCCCAGCCAACGAGCGCACGGAGCCCAGTTCCTGTCTCTTATACACATCTACGAGTTATTAACGAAAAACACTGGCCAATAAGAGGCGAGCTCGACCGGCGTGTGGCGGCCCAGCCAACGAGCGCACGGAGCCCAGTTCCTGTCTCTTATACACATCTACGAGTTATTAACGAAAAACACTGGCCAATAAGAGGCGAGCTCGACCGGCGTGTGGCGGCCCAGCCAACGAGCGCACGGAGCCCAGTTCCTGTCTCTTATACACATCTACGAGTTATTAACGAAAAACACTGGCCAATAAGAGGCGAGCTCGACCGGCGTGTGGCGGCCCAGCCAACGAGCGCACGGAGCCCAGTTCCTGTCTCTTATACACATCTACGAGTTATTAACGAAAAACACTGGCCAATAAGAGGCGAGCTCGACCGGCGTGTGGCGGCCCAGCCAACGAGCGCACGGAGCCCAGTTCCTGTCTCTTATACACATCTACGAGTTATTAACGAAAAACACTGGCCAATAAGAGGCGAGCTCGACCGGCGTGTGGCGGCCCAGCCAACGAGCGCACGGAGCCCAGTTCCTGTCTCTTATACACATCTACGAGTTATTAACGAAAAACACTGGCCAATAAGAGGCGAGCTCGACCGGCGTGTGGCGGCCCAGCCAACGAGCGCACGGAGCCCAGTTCCTGTCTCTTATACACATCTACGAGTTATTAACGAAAAACACTGGCCAATAAGAGGCGAGCTCGACCGGCGTGTGGCGGCCCAGCCAACGAGCGCACGGAGCCCAGTTCCTGTCTCTTATACACATCTAGATGTGTATAAGAGACAGCTCCTGAACCCTTTGCAGCATCCTTGGAGTAAACAAATTGATCGCACCGTATAGGAATAATTAAGAAAATTCTCTCGCGACGTCCTTTTCATATTAATACTCAGGACGAACTGCAGAATGGCCGACAATGTTCCCGTTCGATGGAAAATAGTTGAAACTCGCTCGTAGGAGAACGAAACATTGTCAACCATCGTGCCAATCTTCTGCAGTTCGTACGCAGTACGTGTTGTTAACGATACGAACTTTGAACGCGCAGCATTAAAAAATTGGCTCTTTTCAGGGCCATACATATTAACCCAGGAAAGTTCGTCCGCAGATATTATTGATATGCGATCAATGTTTACTGATAATGCAGTGAAAGTGAACGTTGCAATAGCCTGCCTGGAGACAGGCTGATACAGACCAGAGATGATACAGGATACAGATCAGCTGTGCAGTTCACATATTTATATGTATTATTCGTTATTTATTTTATTATTATATTATACTATATTTATATTTATTATTCATTATTTATTTTACTATTATTATTATATTTATATTTATATCTATTATTCGTTATTTATTTTATTATTATATTATACTATATTTATATTTATTATACATTATTTATTTAATTATTATTGTTATATTATATTTATATTTATTATTCATCATTTATTTTATTATTATTATTATATTATATTATTATATTATTATTTACTAATAATGTAGTATTTATTTTTTACTTATACAATTTATTTGTTATTCTTCGTGACCAATGACAGTTATAAACGCAGCGGCGCTGCGAAATTCCGGCGCGAATAGCTTCACCCGTGACAGCTAATTTCAGATTAATCATATCCGATTTCGCGTGTGCACACCTGCCAAACCGTCGGCTACCGTTTTTTCTCGCGAACACGACCAGCCGCGCGGCGCAGCTCGCGGCTCGCGGCCCTGGCACGTAACAATAAAAGCAGCCCAATCGGCGAAGCGGAAAGGAGCGAACAAAATTGTGGTCTTCCGAAGGTTCTCGCGATACGGCTGGATCTCGTTTCGCACGGCTGGAAACGTGCTTGCACGGCAAGGGGTTCGAATAACAATTGAAACAGCTTTCGTATAAAACAAGCCTCGTTCGAACAACTTTGAACAGTTTATAAATACAATGAAAAACAACGAACTTATATATTATTGCTCTATGCAATAATTAATTTAAAACACTAGTAGCTTCGAATTTTTATTATTTTAGCTTCGTAAAGTTACAATGATGCGCATAATTACAGACTGAATGTAACTTTTACATTGTCAGAAGATCTTGAAACTTTAAAAGCACGTGTCACTGCTGTCAGAGTTGTCTAAAAACGGAAAAAAGGTTGCTAGATTGTTCTCCGTATATTTTACTATCTAGGAAAATAACGAGTTTTTGGAACGTGCGAACTTTTCGAAATTCGAATTTGGCCGCCTTTCCGGGTCAAATGGCGATGATTGGTGCGCCGCATAGTGGGCTGGATCGAGAAATTCAGTGACATTCTGTTATAACTTTTGAACCATCAAAGATATTGCAATGGAATTTTCACCAAAAATATTGAAAAAATAGTTATTTTCAACTATAGATATAATGTTATATATATAATATTACAAACTATTTGTAACATTACAATACTAACGTACCTGGAATTACTAGTTGGTCCTCGTAACCAGTGTGGGTGTAATATATACCGACTGGAACACAGAGAGATTATCTCCAATATCTCTAACCTCAAAGTAACGTAACCTTGATATCTTTAAAACGTAATAATTTACAATCTGGTTCGTCTTGGTATGTAACTTTTAAAGAATTACGTAGAAGAAAGTATCCTGAAAATATACCGTTTGTCCGAAACTGTGAGTTCTTGGGTGTCAAAAGATATTCCTTGTCGAATGTAAAGAATTTTTACGCTTTTTGTATTTTATTAAACATTATATTTTTCATATATAGGATACGATAATCTTAATTCAAGCTACTGTTTCCTAACGAGAAATATTGCCTCCTAATGTTAAAAAAGAAAGCAAAGGAAAAAATTAATTAGGTTC